TGGGGTGAAGTGTAGAGAAGGTCAAAGAGGCAGGGGATGGAGGGGGCTGGCCCAAGGGAGCTGAGCAGAGTGGAACTGAAGTGCCAGAGGAAGGCCCAGTGAAGGAGCTGGTGTCAGGGTGCAAAGAGCTGGGGAGGGAAGGGAGAGACAATGGAGGAAAGAACTTGAGAGCTGTCGGGGGTGGGATCCTATGGAATGTTGGCATTGGGATGGCCTCAGAGGTAGCCACCCCCTTGTGCAGAGGAGAGAAACAGCCCCAAGAGGGCCACGGGCTGCCCAGGGCCCCAGGGAAGCAGAGGGGCTGGAGGGCCCTGCAGGGCAGTGAGGGAAGGTGTTGGGGAGACGGGGTGGAGGAGCCCATGAAGGGTCAGGCAAGTGAGAGGACGGAGGAGGGTCCAAGGACAGAGAAGAGGAGGAAGAGGCCAGTGGTCATGGCTGAACCCCACCTCTGCACACCTCCGCTGTGGGGCGAGGTCCAGGGCCTGGCTTCTGTTGGGACCAAGGCTTGGCAAGAGACAGAGCCAACTTGGGAGACCCATCCAGGCCAGAGGACACCTTTCCTTTCTGGGCTTCCCCAGGGTGAGGAGCTGCTCTTTCTGCACCTGCGTCTCCACTTCCCTTCTCATGGGCTCTTTCTGCCTTTCTCCTTGCTTCCTTCCCTCCTTCCCTTCACTCTTTCCTCCATTTCCCTTCCCACTCCCAACCCCTCCTGTTACATAATACCCCTACGGACCTGCCAGACCCACCTCCACCTGGTGTCAGTCTGGGCCTGGGAGGACCAGAACACCTGGGTCCTGAAAATGGCCCGAGGAGGGGGTGACACTTCTGATCCTTGACCCTGATTCTGATTTCAGAGCCCTTGACGAACCTCGCCACCCCGACCTTCATTTCCTGTACCCTCTGAGGCCAGGAATAGAGGGGTCAATCCCAGTTCGTTTCTGAGTCAGGAGCCTCTAGGGGTTCTGCATTCATCACTCCAGCTTATAAAGGGGCCTGGCATTTATTTTGATTCTTGTTATGGGTGTGTTCACTTGGATGTCTGACTGAATGTTTTATGGCCAAGAATGAGCTTAAGAGTTGAGATATTGTTCTGGGATCAAGAGAGAGCTGAGCCCAGGGCTCTGGATCTAGGGAGGTACCCCTCTTCCCTGCGCAGGGGGTAGTGAGGGTCTGTATACAAAGAGCTGGTGTGGGCTGTGGGCACTCAGGACTGCAGCCTTTCTGGATTGTGGAGGATATTTTATCCTCTCGTGATTCTAGATCTCCCAGAAGGTTTCTGTCATGGCTTCTGATGCGGCAGACAGAGGGTCTGCACATGTAGTTTTAACCACGGGGGCAGCACTGAACGGGTGGCTTTTCACATGGGATGATTATTTTGTTTGGGTCTGGATTAGCTAACTATTATTAATGGTTGGTTGGGTTTTTTTCCCTCTAGAATGCAGGTGTGTGGGAATTGTATAGAAGATTCTTGATCATTTAGTGTTTTACTGGACCAGTGAATTTCTGGGTCTAGGAGGCATAGAGGGGACCATGCTGGGTGTGGGCAGAAGATTCCAGGCCTGGGCCTTTGGGTGGTGGCCACTTAGGCCTTTGCATTTTGTGTCTGGCCAGAGGCAGTCTTGCCTTGGGCTTCAGGGGTGTTTCCCACCCTGCCACCCCATAGTGGTATCTACACAATGTTATCTGTCATGTAGCTCAGTAGCATTTTCCTGGGGAGGTCAAGAACAGTGGGTCTGGACCACATGAGGGCCACATAATGGGCCTTAGCTTAGGCCCCCTTCTTCTCCAGAGCCCTTTCAGGAACCCGTCAGAGGTTCCAGCTGGGGTGTCCTGGGCTCCATGTGTGCCTTCCCCTGCGACCCGGGGTATCTGAAGGCCAGGGCCGAGGACGGCTGGCGGGGCGAGAGGAGGGAGGCGCCTCCGGAGCGCGGCGGGGAGGGAAGGGGAGGGACCGGGCGGAGCCCCGCCCCCCGCCCGCGTCCGCCCCAACCCGAGCCCGCTGCCCGGAGGGCGGGAGGCGGGGGGCCGGGGAGAGAGATGCCTCCCCAGGGTAATCACTGCCGCCCCGGCCCAATAAACCATCCATCCTTCACCTCTTCAGCCCAAGACATGTCTCTCCATCCGATCCCCCACCGTGTGATAAACGCCCTTAGGCGTTTACAGTCCCGCCCCGCGTAATAAACTGGCGGCAGTGGGAGAGCCGCGGGGCAGTGAATCCCGGGGGAGGCCCGGCCCGGCGGGGGCGCGGGCTGGGCACTGGGGTTGGCGGGGGGCGGTCCGTGCGCCGTGGGCCTCGGCTGCGGGGAGGCGTGCGACCGTGCCGTCCTGCGCGGTGCCAGCCGCTGCTCTCGCCGCCTGCCAGTCTTTGTGCGCTTACCGCCATGTTTCCCGGCTGTCTCCTGTTGGTCTGCCTCTCCACACTGGGCCTTTGTGTGCAGCTGGCTGCGGCGTGGCCTGTGTGTGGGTGTGGGGTCTGGGGATGCGTCACGAGGGACGCGTCGGCTACGGGGGCCCGGGGCTGCGGGCACCCGCCCGGCCTCTGATCCTTCCTGCCTCACTGCTCTATGGGGCATGGAGATGGGGGGCGGGCTCGGTTCTCACCTCATCCCCGGGCTCAGGGTGATGTGCTGTCTGGGTTCCTGGGATGGGAAAGTGAGGAGAAAGGGTTTCTCTTTCCCGAGCCCTGAGGGGTTTAGGAGGCTCCAGGTAGATGGAGTTTCCTTTGTTGGTGGAGGGAACAAGAGACCCAGTAAGCCCTTCTACATCTGACTGGGAGGCCCTGGAACCAGAGGTGAAGAGGCCCATAGGCCAAGAGGCAGGGAGGAGTGTGTGTGCAGGAGGGTCAGCATCTCAGCTCCCCTGGTCCTCTTCACCCCTCAAATTTGGACGTGCAGCTTGTGAGTGAGCAGAGGGGGAAGGGAGGACCCTGGGTATTACGGTTACCATGGAAACAGCCGATTTTCCGGAGTGCTGCAGTGTTGGGAGTGGAGAGAAGGTTGCCGGCTGAGGCCTACTTTGCTCCTAGCCCTCACACCCTGCCCTGTCCAGGCAGTGACTGCCAGAGGGCCGGGGTGTGGCTCATGCCCCGATCGATTCTCCGCCCTGATCTTGGGGCACCATCTTGAGATTTCAGATCTCACCAGGGAGGCCCTCAGGGAGGAAGGATACCTGAGTTGGGAGGGGGCAGGGCCCAGCTCCCTGTCTGCTGGGCGTGCTTTCCCACAACTGTGGTGTGGCAGATGTCAGTTAACTGACACCCAGGTGGTTCCTTCCCGGTGATCTTGCCCCCTGGGAGTCATCTTTCCCCTCTGGTCCTGCCTGGGGGAGATGGAGGGCACTGGTGACAAGTGCTCAGCGTGCCATCTCCTGCTCCCCCACCCCCGGCCCCCTGCTGGCCGCACTGCCTCTCTGGGGCCCAGACCCCACACAGCCTTCCCTTGGCTCCTCCTGGGCCTGCAGAAGGTGCCTCCCTCCAAGGCACTCAGGGGTCCCCTCTCCATTTGGAGGCCCGGGAGCTTCCTAGGATAGAGACCCCTGGTCCCATATTGCCCAAATTGCAACAGGGCTTCTAGTCCCTGAGGTGAGAGACCCCAAGGTGTGTGAGAGGGGCGGCCTTAGTGTTTTCCACTGGACTGCCATCTTAGCAGAGCAGGTGTGCTCCGGAAATACCTCAGACCCTCCCTGACCTGGAACTTTCTAGCCCATCCAGGGCTCTCCCACCCCACAGCCACACTTTTCTCCCAGGCTGCTCCAGGTTTTTCCCCTCAGGCTCATCTGCCTCTCTTTTCTCTCTGGACAAGTCCTCCCCTGAACCCCTCTCCCCCAAGAAGTGCTTTGAGAGGAGTCGTTAGTGGCTAATTATTTAATTAAGCATTTTATGAATCTCATCTGCTCCATTTATGTTCTAAAGAATGCAAGATTGTTGTCTTCTCTTCTCTGAAGGCCCCAGAGCACTAGTCCTCTAGGCCTCCCAGACAGAGCTCCCTTCCCAGCAACTGGGTGACTGGCCCCCCACCCCCACCGCGGTCATCAGTCTGCCCCCACCCCCCCACCCCCAGGGAGCCCAGGCAGCCGCAGGAGGGGACGTGGCGACTAATGGGGTTTATTTTGGGGCTGAGATCGTTAGGGACCTCACACCCCGCCCCCGGCAGCCGGATGGCAAAGAGGAGACAGAGGGGGAGAGAGGGTGGGGTGGGGGAGGGGTGGGAGAGGGTTCCCTTCACCGTCTCTGGCTCCCACCCTCCTGCTTTCTCTCACCTACACCCCTCTCTGTCCCTCTCTGTCCATCTGTCTCTCTGCCTCTTCCTCCTCTGGTTGTCAATCTCCCCCCCCACCCCCTTGTCTGTCTCTTTTTTTCTGGGCAGAGCTCCAGGACCCCCTGTTTTGGCACCCAGGCAGCCCCCTAGTTGGGTGTGGAAGCAGGGAGTCCAGGCAAACTGGGACCAGGCTTTGCACGGGCTTGGGAGGGGGTGGGGGCCAGGTGTTGGAGGGGCGCCAGCCTGCGGGCTATGAGTCAGAGCCGAACACAGCCCCTGCTTCTCCTCCCGCCATCGCCTGGGGCTCCTTTTGCCTTGGTGCCTGCTCCACTCAGCCTGCAGAAGCACACACCTCACACCTGTCACCTGGGCCGGGCCTGGGAGCAGTCGAGTGGGGCCCTCTAGGTCCTGCCTGCCCCTGGTGATCATCCTGTCCCCTCGCAGTGTCTCCCCAGGCCCGCCCTCTCTGTGTCGGTCTCTCTATTACCTCTCTTTTGCGGTAATTAAAACTGGAATTCTTGATGAGGCCGCTACATCTGTCTGTGCGCGTGCACAGGCTCCCAGCCGGGCACCCGCCCGCCAACTGTTCCCTAGGACAGTAGGGCCTGGTGGCCACTGTGGGTCTCACAGCTGAAGCCCTGAACCCTAAACCCATTGTCTCAGGGCTCTGGCCACAGCCCTAAGGACCTGCTAACCACGCCCTCCTGACGTCTTATCTCCCTCTCCCTTTCCTTCTCTCTGCAGCTGGAACCACGTACATCTTTGGGAAGGGGGGAGCGCTCATCACCTACACGTGGCCCCCCAATGACCGGCCGAGCACAAGGATGGACCGCCTGGCCGTGGGCTTCAGCACGCACCAGCGGAGCGCCGTGCTGGTGCGGGTCGACAGCGCCTCGGGCCTCGGGGACTACCTGCAGCTGCACATCGTAAGAAGCGGGGCCACTACTCCCAACCCCTCAGCCTTCCTACCCCAGGTCCACTCTGTCCCTCCTGCCATGGGACCAGCACCTTAAATCTTTCCCTTCCATGGAGCCCCCAGAATCTCTGTTCCCTGACCCCTGGGGTTTCCTCCCTGTGGTTCTGCTTCTGGGACCCCCTCTCCTGCCGGTTATTCACTGAAGCTCCCCAGCTCCGAGCTCTGAGACCATCTGTGTCTCTGACCTTCCTAAATGTAGTCAGGGGCCCCCTCCAGGCTTCCAGGCCATTCTCCTGCAGCCTTTGGGGCCGCCCTCGTCTCATGACTGCCCTGGGCTGCTGCCCACTCACTGTGACACCAACTCGGCCACCCACTGTGTCCCGTACTTTCTCCTGCTCCTCCTTTGGCCTCCCCGCCCCTGGACAGCCCACCCTTGCTTCTTCACCTTGCCTTTTGATCCTGTCCTGCCTCTGCCCTGCCCTTGAATATTGTTCCCATGACCTTTGCCCTCGCAGCGGCCACCTTGCCCGGCCTCCTAGCCATAGCTACAGCCTTTCTGGCCACAGCCCTGCGCATTCCTCCCTGACTTCTTGGCCCAACCCCACATCTCCACCCTGACCTCCGAGCCCCGCTTTTCTGCTTTTCTCTGTGCAACTCCCCTGCTTGCCCTCTGCTCTCTCCCACTGCCTCCCCCAGGCCCCTCTGCTCACAGTTTCTATCCTAACTCTAGTCTTGAAGCTGCCCCCTTTCCTCCCCATCTCCGGTCCTGCCCCCACACCCTTCCCTACAAGCTCTAGGTGGCTCTGCTCCATTTCTGCCCTAAGCCTCTCCCCACTGTCTTAGCCCCTGGGCCTCTGACCTGCCTCCATCTTCACCTGTGCAGCCCCTTACAGCTTCCTCCCTTCCCTGCCCGAACCCCATGCGCTGACCTGGGGACCCTGAGCTGGGAGGTCTGAACAGGCTGGCCAGGCTCTGTGTGCTGGAGGGATCTGCGTGGGGGACCGTGAGCTTCAGGGGAGCAAGAGGGCAAGGGGAGAGGCTTCTCTGGGCTCCGGCCCTTCCTTACAGGGCAGCTTTTTAGGCTCCCCAGGCTGCATCCTCTCCCCTGACACGGACAGGAGGGAGTGAAGGAATGAGGCCTGAGGGGAGATGGCCTGTAGGCAGAGTGGAGCTGGAGAAGTGGCAGCTGATGGGCGCCGGGCGGGGGAGGCCAGGCAGCGAAGCGAGCAGGAAAGGGGTGCAGAGGGAGGTGTGGCGGAGAAGGCTGGAAGCTCCGTGAGCGGGTGTCTCCGCCCACATGAGAGGCAATGCGATGGTGTGATGACTGAGTGTGACAGCGTGGGGCCGATGCACGTTGATCATGTCAGGAGCGTTCGGGGGCACTGTGGGGGACAGTCTCGTGGCCTCTGGTTGGGCGTGTCACTCTATATTTGTATTCCTTGGCCGTGTGGTGTTTGCTGCCAGTTCAGTCTCCTGAGCCTGCGTGGCGGGTATGACTGTGCTTCTGGGTCCTTCGCTGTGGGTGAGGGCGGCCGCTGTCTCGTCACATAGTCGTGAGAGGCTCTGTGCCCTTCGGAGCAGATGCCTGGGTTTGAGTCCCCGCCCCGCCTCGTCCTTGCCCTGTCTTCGTGCGGTCCCCTCATCTCCTGTGCCTCAGTGTCCTCCTCTGCAAAGTGGCATGGGAAGAAGACAGGGAACTGCTGGGGAGGTTCGAGATGATGCATGTAAAGCTCTTAGGGCATTGCCCAGCCCCTCGGAAGCACCATGTCCGGTAATAGCCCGATCGCCCGTGAGTGTCCCCCTGGATGAGTTGATCTGCAGGTGGTCTGTGTCTGCCTCATTGATGACTTCTGTCTCTGTGCCTGTGGGTTTAGGAGACAGGGTCCCCCCAGTGCTGAGGAGAAGGGGCAGGGGGACAGGGAGCGGGGAAGAGTCGCCTTTTCCCCGTCTCAGCAGTTACCCACCGCCTTGCTGGGTGCTGGGTTACAGACACCTGGTGCTGTAGAGGGCGGGGCAGGGCGGAGTGGGGCTGGGCCTGGGATGGGGAGCCTGGCAAGGGTGGGGGGCCCTGGAGGAAGTGTGGGAGCCATGTGCAGGGTAAGCCGGGCACTGGACGGGCTCGAGCCCCCTGGGGCAGCCCCCAAGCCCCCTCCTCCCCTGGTGACACATCAGCTCCCACCACAGCGTCATTAGCAGCTCTCAGAGAGTGGGGAGGCGGCAGCAAAATAAGAGAAAAGCAATTTGACGTTTCTAATAAAGCGTCGCTCCACTTTGCCAAATTAATTTTGACTCCCATAATTATTTGCTGTAGGAGCGGCCTCGTTCTTCCCGCCGCCGCCTAATGAGGTAATTGGGGAATTAGGAATTAATGACTTTAACAGAAGTGACAACTGACTTCACGTCGGGAGCAGCTCTGGGAGCTGCCTCTTCCCCCCGGAGTGCATGGCTCTGGGCTTGGCTGCCTCCTAGGAAACGGGGGTGTCCTGCCTTCCAGCTGCCCTGGATGGCCTCTGTCTGCCCGGCTCTCAGACCACTTCCGCTTGCTGACTGCCGTCACCACCCGGCTGAGCCTCGTGGGGAGAAACCCTCAGAGGCGCCCAAGGGGCTGGCGCTGTTGGATTACTCACAGCAGTACTGAGGTCTGCTCCCCTCCTGTGAGGAGCAGACCCTCACCCCTTCTCCCTGGATGTCACCAGTCTGCAGGTGCTGGGTGGGTGCAGCTTGCTAGTACTCTTTGTTAGGCAAGCCCAGCCTCAGTTTCCCTGCCTTGCTGCATCTTTGAAGAGGTGCTGCTGTGTGTAGGGCTCTCTGACTGTGTGTGTGGCTTTCCCAGGTTCTAGGAGGGGGAGAAATGGACCCACAGTGGGGAAGGGATAGGGCCTGGGTCTTCAGGTAGACCACGGGTGACAGCCTGCTCCCCCACTCTCCCTGCAAACCCCACGCCTGCCTCGTCTGAGCCGCCCCGGCCCTCTTGCAGTGCCGCCGAGCCTCCTGACCCTGTTGGACGCAGGAGGTGGCTGCTGAATGGCTCCTCATGCCCAGGCTGGACTGGAACAGCTTTTCAGGAAGACTCCAGGAGTGTAGTGTGTTCTGGGAGGATCTGGGTCCCCCTGACTGTGAGGGAACCTGTGCAAATGTCTGTCCTAGGTGGAGGAGGGTGTGGGAACTCAGGAGGCTGAACTCGGGGTACTGCTAGGAAGCACAGGGGAATGGAATAGGGGCTCAGGTTTAGGGCCCAGAGGGCCTTGCACTGGCTTCTTTACATGTCTTTGTCTTGAAGGAAGGTTGGTCTCAGTAGCCTCTCAGATCACCCCCAGCTCCAGCACTCTTGAGTTGGTGTCTCCCCAGACTGGTGGGGCACAGCGGGAGAAGGCACTGGCTTTGGAGTCAGGCCAACTGGGGTTCAAACCTGGGGTTCCTTTCTTATGAGCCGTGGGATTTGGGGATATTGTTTACCCTCCCGGGGTCTCAGTTTGCTCCTCCGTGGAACGCGGGTGCTGTACATTCCTGAGGGTTGCCGTGGGGGTGAAGGGAGCACGTGTGTGCAGCACCCACAGAGGGCCTGGCACCACTGAGGGCTTCAGTGAGGCTCTGGCACCATGGACAGAACTCTTCTGGACTGGCTCCTGGGCAGCCTGTGCGGGTTTCCCACAAGGCCGTCTCTGAGGCCTGGGGCTGGGCGGGTTGCTCAGACCTACTCTCCGCTCCCCTCCTCCAGGCTCAGTCCCTGTCTTTCCTCTTCCTGTCCATCCCCACCTGCCTGCAGCATCCTCTACCCTTATACCCCATCTCACCATTCCTTAATGACCCCAGCATGGCTTGTCTCCTGGATCTCTTTCTATGCCCAACACCCTCCAAAACATGCAGCCCAGACCCGCTACCTCTGCCCCCTTGACTGTAGAGGGGCTGCCCCCACACTCAGGCCTGACCTACATGGGCTGATGCCTGCTGGTGCCCTGGTGACGAAGCCCCCAGGGGCTTGCCGAGTGCTGAGCATTCAGGGGAGGGGAGGCTAGAGCTCGGAGGTGTGTGCGTGGGGGGAAGCCAGCCCCTCTCGAGGCACCAGGCTGGCTTCTGTGGACTCCCCTGTTGGTTGCGCCTTAGGGAGGCCTCTACCCTCCATGCTGCCACTGGTCCTGGCTTGCTCTTGATCATCCCTGTCCGGGGCCTGCAGGCCCAGTGGCCCTTGCGTGGAGTAGGCGCCCCATAAACATTTGTGAGCATTTTGCCTGAACCTAAAAGCAAGAGGCGAGTGTGGCCAGTTGACGAGCTCCAGTTCCACGCTCTGCACCCACAGTGGCTTCTCCAACCTCTCTGAGCCTCAGTTGCTCCCTCACTCGAGTATGGGGGAGGGGGCAAGCCAACCTCCTCGGGCAGGTGAAAGGGTCCAGTCAAGACACGGCTGGGAGAGGCGTGTCGTAAAGCTGTTTAATGCAGCAGGGCTGGACCAGTGGTGGTCACAGGAGGAGTTCTAGCAGGAGTGAATGGTCGTTCCCTCCCAACCCCTGATCTCTGCCTCCCTGTCCCCAGGACCAGGGCACCGTCGGGGTGATCTTTAACGTGGGCACGGACGACATTACCATCGACGAGCCCAACGCCATCGTGAGCGACGGCAAATACCACGTGGTGCGCTTCACTCGAAGTGGTGGCAACGCCACCTTGCAGGTGGACAGCTGGCCGGTCAACGAGCGGTACCCGGCAGGTAGGCGGCGGGGCGCGGAGGTGTGGCGGGAGGGGTGGGGCAGGGCGGCCAGGGCTGCCTCCGATAGGAGCGCTGCTGCACCAGGGGCGGGGCTAAGTGGCCAGGCTTCCCGCTGCGGGAAAGGTTGGCTTGTAGGGCGGGACCAAGGTGGGGCGGGGCCAACAGGAAAAAGTGGGATTTGAAGGGTAGGGGCGGGACTGTGGGAGAAGGTCAGCTCGCAGGGGGTTGGAAGAGCTGAGCCAAGAAGGTTGCAAGGGCAGGGTCCCATTTGCCGGTGGGGGATGAGAGAAGCGAAGGAAGGTAGAGGTAAGGAGAGTCTGACGTAAGTGAGGGAAGGATGAGCTGAGAAAAGAGGGACAGGTGGAAATGGGGAGGCAGATGCAGACACCAAAGAGAGAAGATTCAGAAGTAACCCAAAACGGATCTTGGCAAGGAAGCAGGGCTGTTCCCAAGGATAGAACCAAGGCAAGAACCAAGGTCTTTACAAAGAGCAAGTCGAAGGTTCATATTAGGTGAACTAGATAAAGAGAAGTAACCATGGAGACCTGGAGAAAAGGAACCCCAGTGTGTCAAAGAGTAAGGGACATCGTGAAAGGGAGAGAGCGACAAGTGACAACAAGAGAGAAAAATAGGTCAAGTGCCTCCAACAAGCCTTCGTCAACAGCCTACTGGTCTTAGGTCCTCTGCTAAGCTCCGAGGACACAGGGCACAACCCCTGCTTGCAGGGAGCTCACAGTCGTTGGGGCGGGGGAGCGCAGGGATGCAAACAGACGTGATTCAACAGTGTGACAGCTGTGGTGGCCAAGGGCCCACCAAGGTCTGAGGAGCACAAGGGAAGGACAGGAATGAGGACCTGAAAGACATGAGGAGGCAGAGACTCTGCAAGAATCTGAGGGAGGCAGAGAAAGAGCCTCAGAGTGAGAGGAAACAAGGCAGGAGCGGTGGAGAGATATGGAAATAGTCGCCGAGACAGAAGCAGAAACGGAGGCAGCGCCCGGAGTGATGCAGGGAGATGTATGGAGCCGCTGTCTCACAGATGCAGCCAGCAAGAGAAGAGGTGGCCAGAGCCTGGGGAGGGAGACGAAGAGAACCCCAGTGAGGGAGACAACAGGGAGGGGAAGTGGAGGTACCGCAGGAGAACCGCAGACGCACCAAGACACGGAGATACAGACTGAGTGACACTGCAGAGTCGTGTGCACGGGGCGACTGAGGAGCAGAGAGAGCACGTGCAGGCTCAGCTCCTCTCCTCGGCCAAAGTGATGCCCAGAGAAGCTGCCCCGTGCTGGCTGAGGGGGCGGAAGGATGTGAGAGGTTCAAGTGTGCAAACCCTCACAGCCCACTTACACTGGGATGAAAAGGCTCATGTGGGCTTATGGCTCACTGACACATGGGCTTGTACCCAGACACTCTCAGGCAGGCCCTGAAGACAGAACCCCAAAGTCCCCTAATAAACACAGAGACTGACACACACGCAGGCCAGCCCCAGACACACAGACACTGGCAGATATTCACGTGGTCAGACAGACACAGGGGGAAAAAGCCCTACAGAGGGATGCCAGCTTACACTGAGGCCTGGGCATGTGTGGGGCAACTCAGGCACATAAATGTTCCCATTCCAAGTGCCACAGACACGCCGACACCGACAGGCCAGGCTGTGGGCCTCAGACTTCGCTCTATCTTAGACATACACACCAGGGCAACCTTTGCAGCAGTGAAGACACCAGCCTGCACTGGACAGGGCTGGACTCGGGGAGCATGAAGCTTTACGTCAAGCCAGAGCTCCTTCCGTTGGATCCCAGCAGGGCAGATACAAGATTAGAAGAGTCACACCCGCCCTCCTCTGCTTGGGATCCCTGGATGGGGTTGGAGAGACTGTGGGGTGCCTCCTGACTGCCAAGCAGAGTAACCTGAGGCCTGGTGCCCTGTGAGGGCAGATCACCTACGAAAGTGAGTGTCACCCTGAGCGACACCAGCAGGCCAGAGTAGAGTGTGCCTGGTCCAGACTCTCAGGAAGCACAGACACGCAGCCCAGGGACCCCAAGTCAGCAGGACCTGGCTTTTCATCCTGCATCTGCTACTGACAAGCTGGGTGACCTTGGACAAGTCATCTAACGCCTCTGTATCTCAGTTTCTACCCCTGAAAGTTGGGGATGATATCTGCATCAGAGCCATACTGTGAGAGTTCCATGAGATGACCTAAGGAAAGTGCTAGAATGGCATGGCATAGCAGAGGTGCTGTGTAAATGGAGCTCTTGTTAGAACTGTGTGTGCCAGTGAGGCAGACATACATTCTTCCCTCCCTCTCAGGACACACATACGGACAAATACACGACCACACAGACACACACACACATACACACAGCTGTCCGGTGGGAGTAGGTGCCTGGATGCCCCCTGCCCTCCTGCCTCTGCTCGAGTGCGCCCTCTGCCTCCCCTCCCCCGCTTCTCCCATCTGGCTGCTGCTCTCCTCCTCCAGACTCTTCTGGGGCCCCTCCCAGCCCCAGCCCGGGTGCTGTGCTGCCTCGAACAGAACATAGCACTCTGCCGGTCACTTGCCAGCTGCAGCTCAGTGGGGGCTCCCCCTGGGCAAGGACGGGACTTCTCTTTGCATCTCCAGCACCCAGCGCCAGGAATAGATAAGACACTCAGGAGATGTTTGCTGAGCGACTAAACGAGTGGATGATCCATTTTTGTCTAAAACACAAGTGACCTGACTCTGTGGATTCAGAGTCTGTGGAACCTTTGGGAGGGCAGGGTCTCACTGCCTCGTAAGCATCCAGGGAGGCCCCATCTCTGCTGGAGTGAACACACATGGGAGGCTCACGGGAGGTGAACACAGGCAGGCCCAGGCCCAGGTCTCACTGGGCAGGTAGCGCGGTTGTGCAGTGAGACATAAGAAGGAAAATGCCCCCAGAGTGCATGTTACTGAAGATCGTGTCAGTGGTTTCAATGGGTAGAGTGGCCAGGTGCCCAAAGGAAATAACTTCCATTTCCACAGCTACAGTTTGGGGTCACCCACAGCCTTGGGGGAGAGCTCACAGAACACACAGACACACAGACACAGACAGACAGACAGACAGACAGACAGACAGACACACACACACACACACACACACACACATCCTCCTTGCTCGCTGTGAGCAGAGAGAACAGTTGTGTATGGATGGGCAGCCAGGATTGAGAGAAGGAAGGCTCAGGTTGGGGCTGGGATGGGTCCCCAGGGCTGGAACGAAGCGGAGACCTGAGTGGAGAGGAGTCCGAGGGTCTTGGAGTGAAAAGGAGAGAGAGGGGGATGAGAGCAAGGTGCAGCCAGGTGGAGGAGGGCCGTGGGCGGCTGCAGGGAGCCCGGGGGTGGGCCGGGGTGGCAGAGGAGGCGAGATGCAAGGGTTGGGCGGGGCAGCTGGGGTGCTGTGACCAGGGTGAGAAGCCTGGAAGTGTCTTCAGTGAGAACAGTGGGGGCTTGGCGGCGGAAGTGCAGGTGGAAACCAGTGGTGGGGTGGGGTGTGGTGTGGGGTGGGAGGTGAGAGGAAGCTGGGAGTTCATCACAGAACCTAAAGGGAACCGAGGGGACTTCGAGAAGTGTTTTAAATTTCACTGTTAAATGCGTGTGCCGGACCACCCCCTAAACGCCGCATAAACCCCCGCTTAACCCGTCCCTCCCACTTCTAAATCGCCCACTAAACGCAGTAACCAGCTGGGTCGCTAAGGCCTTCCACCCCTAACTTAAACCTGCTAAATGCCCCTCCCCACCCCTCTACCCCACTCTGGGATGGGGAAGGAAGCGGGCAGACAGATAAACCTGTTTAACCTCTGACTTTGACCTTCCAGCTGCCTCTTCTTCCATTCCCCTTTCCTTTTCTTCCTTGTTCCCTCTTTTTCTTCGGGTGGCTCCTGCCCCCAGGATGGGGCTGGCTCTGCCTGGGAGCCTAGGGAGGGGGACCGGAGGGCGGACGAGGGACCGGCGTTTCTTCTCCCGCCTTGGGTGGACCTGCCCTCTCTCCGTGGGATGTGGCCGCTTACTCTGAGTCTCCTGAGAAATGCATAATTACTTTTCTAACTCCTTTGGACTTCGCCGCCTGAGAAACCTACTGTCTTTCTAAACTTTTCCAAGGAAACTTTGATAACGAGCGCCTGGCGATTGCTAGACAGAGAATCCCCTACCGGCTTGGTCGAGTAGTTGATGAGTGGCTGCTCGACAAAGGTAATTAACCAGAATTAATTAATTAATTAATTAACTTTAAAAACACTATCTTAAAGGTGCAGAGCTCTCTCTTTCCCCATCCAAGCCTTCCCCATCGCCCACCCCCTAGTGAAAGGACGATTGTCCGGCCAGGGTGCTCCCTTCCTCTTTGGGGTCATGGGTCCGTGGCTTCTAGAGGAGTGGTTGGGGCAGGGGTGGGGCTTTTCCGAGAAGTGGGAGAGCTCGGTCTCTTCCTAAACCTGTGATGGGACTAGGGTCATCGAGGAGATGCTAAACCCCTCCAGGAAGGCAGGGTCAAGTGCAGGTGGGGAGGCGGCTGCCCTGTTGGCTCAGAGGTTTAGTCGAGGGCCAACTGAGGACCACAGCACGCTGGGCAGCAGACAGCTTTGGGAACCAGAGGGTGGTGGTCCTAGGATCCCAAGGAGGGATAGGAAGACTTCACAGGGCTCATCTGAGGAGAAAAGGGAGGAGTGTGTGGGGGGGGCTTCAGATCCTACTGGAAAGATTGAGAGCGTCTGTGAGGCCGCTGTCTCTGGAAGGGGCCCACCTGGGTCCAGAAGGTCTCAGATGCAGTGGAGGTTGGGGGGAGACTAGGAGGTGGGGGAGAGGTGGCATCTCAGGAGGATTTCTGTGCCTGCTGAGCTGATGAGGAAGACAGAACAGCTGGCTAAGAGGCGCTGCTGGGTGTGAGGGAGGAGGGAGAAGGCCACTTGTCACCAAGGGAAGTTGGGGCCAAGGGCAAAGCCATCCCATTCCCTTTGGAGAGGGGGCGAGCTCTGTACCTCTAAGGCTAAACTCTAGGGGGGAAGTAGCACTGTTAAACCTCCACCTAACCAGCTGATAACTGTGCTTTTAAATGTCCACTGGGGCCTGCCCCAACTAAAACCCCCAATGTCACTTCCAGCCCCCCACACGGCCAGCGGGGACTAAACATGCTGATAACCAGATGTGATAAATCCGTAGCAGGACAAAAAGTTAAAGGGACTGTAACAGATATCGCTAAAACCTACAGCCCCCAGCCACACTGGGCTGCTCTCTCCAGCGGGGTGAACTTTAACCCTTTGAGGAGTTCATGGTGGGTGGGGCCCCAGGGGCCTAGTTGGCTCACCCATGTAGCTTCCTCCCCATTACCCACCTCCCTCTCCCAGAATCAGAGAGGCCAAGGGAGCAGCTTGGGCTGAGGCTGGGACAACTTGTGACCCCAAGGGTAAGGAGAGCTGGACAGGCCAGGGAAAGGGGCCTGGGGGGCGGGACTTGTGGTCCAGTTGAAAGAAGAACTCCTGCTGGTGGTTTGGAACCCCAGTCCTGCTTTCCTCCTGCAGGGTTGTACCTTCTCTTTAGGCCTCTGGTTCCTCTTCTAGAAAGTGCAGGATTGGGCCATGTTCTCTAGTATTTCCCAGAGCGTGGCATGGCCTTGGTCAAGGCATTGGCTCCCTCCTCTGGGAGACAGGGACAGTGATCCCTGCTCAGCCTGCCTCACACGGGGTGCCGTGAGGATGAGATGAAATGAGGAGCAGGAAAGCATTGGAGAACCAGAGCTGGGCATTCTTGGAGAGATTACTTTACCATCAGCTCCTAGCACGTGGTAGGTTCTCAATAAATATTTATTGAGTGAATCCATTTTTCCAGTTCCAAAACATATCCTGTGAAGCATAAGTCCCATGAGATGCTTCTTGATAAAGAGATTTGTGGTTAAAAAAACGAAGAAGAAAGAGAGAGAGAGATTTGTGGTAAAATGAGCTTGAGAAATCAGAATCCTGTTTCTTCCTCTTGGAGAGGCGTATGAACATGCAATTTAATAAAGGCTCTGAGAAGTCCTGTGAGAGAGAAACCTCTTGTTTAATTATGAAATGTTTGTTTTCCAAACTCATTTGACCACTGTGAACCTTCTCCTCTGTTTTTCTCCTAATTCCCACGTGCGGGTGGAAACTGGACACAGTGATCCTCAGGGCCTCTCTGGTCCTATGTTGAACTGCCACTCACTAGTTCTCAGCTTCTGTGGGCTCCGGCTGCCCCCTCTGGAAGATGATGGCCCTGCTCCAGGGCTGAGGGAGGTACTGGGCAGAAGGAGGGCTGCAGGAGGAGAGGCTGAGCAGAGGGTCTGAGCAGACACACCCGTGGCCGATCATTGGCCAGAGGCCAGACAGATGGCTGGGGGCCCCAGAGGTCTGGGTGTTCCGGGGAACCCGTGTTTCCAGCAGGAGTGTGGGTTTCACAAGTTGGACTGTCCTCAGCCCAGGTTTCAGGGCAGGGCTTATAGGCACCTAACTCTAAACCAGATCTTTAACGAGGCACTAACCAGAGGCTAACAAGGGCTAAGCCAGGCCTTAAACCCCCAGCGCCAGCAGCTGAAGGTCCAGGGGAGCAGGGGGCAACCTAGTACTTCCTCTGCCCACCTCCCCCCACAAAATAAGCAACATCAAAACCAAAGTTAAATCTAAACTTAAACATAATAAATATCTTTTCTAAAAACCAAACCAAAGCAACAAACTCAGAGGGTTAAACTGACCCCCAGATCCACTAAAACCGAACAGAACAGCCAAAGCCCACCCAGGTGGGAATTCTGAGGTGTCACTGCTGAGTGAGGAGCGAGGTTGGAGCTGGAGTGGTTTTTTTGGCTGTCAGCGAGCGAAGCAAGGTCCCTTTAACATTTTCCATCTCTGTGCTTGCACACCCTGGCGGGGAGGAAGGACTCTGTTCTCCAGGGCGAGATCCCCAGGCTGTGGCTGAGCCTCGAAGGGAGGAGGGGAGCCTGGCCAGAGGTCCGAGCACTGGGTGGTGGCTGGGAGGGCTGAGTGCGGTCCACATGGCTGTTCCTAGCCTCACGCATGCTGGCCCTCCCCCACGCACTGTCCGCCCGGGCCTCACCTCCATCCCTGCCCTGACACGCACTGACCACGTGGCCTGGCAGTCGCCTCCTCCATTTCTGCCTTTTTGTCTCCTCTGTCTGCTGCTTCCGAGGGCTCCGTGGCTTGGGGCTGGACACGGGGTGTGGGAAGTTGTGGGGGGAGCAGAGAGGGAAGATGGGGATCTAACTGAAGGGAAAGAAGGAGGCGATGCCCCCAGAGCAAGAGAGGAGGCGGGGTGGGAAGGCCAGAGGCCTGAGCATGGCAGGGAGAGGGGGGAGCTGGGCCCCCTTTCCCAGCCCATGTGTGCCCTGGGGCCCCTTCCCCTCCAGGGTCCCTGCTGGCTGGACCGGGCTAGTGGCTGACGAGGACTTTCCCTTTGGTGTCTGCCCCTTCCTCGTTTCTCCCTCCCCACCCAACCCCTACTTGCTGGTTTCCACCTCCACCCCTTTCCCCACCTTGGACACCCCCCCTTCTCCTTCCCCTTTCTGGTCTCCCCCTACTGCCTGTCCCCTCTCTGTCACCCCTGCCCCTCCCCACCCCCCAGGCCGCCAGCTGACCATCTTCAACAGCCAGGCTGCCATCAAGATCGGGGGCCGGGATCAGGGCCGCCCCTTCCAGGGCCAGGTGTCCGGCCTCTACTACAATGGGCTCAAGGTGCTGGCGCTGGCCGCCGAGAGCGACCCCAACGTGCGGACCGAGGGCCACCTGCGCCTGGTGGGGGAGGGGCCGTCCGTGCTGCTCAGCGCGGAGACCACGGCCACCACCCTGCTGGCCGACATGGCCACCACCATCATGGAGACCACCACCACCATGGCCACCACCACCACGCGCCGGGGCCGCTCCCCCACGCTGAGGGACAGCACCACCCAGGTGAGGGCCCCTTCAGCGGCCGGAGGAAGGACAGGACTCAGGTGGGGGTAGGGCTGACATCTGCCTAGCAACCCCAGCGCCCGGGAAGCTCTGAGGGGACGGTGGTTTAGATGGAGTCGGCAAGGTCTCCTTTCTTGAAGCGCTTGTCACCCTGGGAACCAGGGATGTCATAGATGTGGAGGTGACCACTCTTTCTAGGGGGACCATTCCCAGAGTCGAGGGGAAGTTAGGTACCCTAGCTAGACCAGGGAAGACCACCCCCGACCTATGAGAGAGGCGTTGCTATAGGAGGAGAGCAGAGCTGGAAAGGAAGACTTCCTGGAGGAGGCATTCCAGGCCTCTGCTTGATGCTTCTACCTGGAGAGACGGGTGAAGCCCCAGAGAGACCAAATTGGGCTGGGGGATGGAATGACCCCTGCTACCTGCCTAGTAATGAAGGCCATACTTGGTGTTGTGTGGGCATCGAGGGGGAGACAGAGGGAGCCAGGATGGCACCACGCTGGGCAGGGCACAGAGGCGACAGCGCTGGAGGGGTCAGTGGCTCACCCGGCGGCAGCGGCCCTTCTCCAGAGGCTGGTGGAGGCCGGATCAGCCTCTCCCTGATGGCTGGTGTCCTTGCGGTGGCACTGCCAGCCCACTTCTGTCACAAGCCCTCTCCGTGTGACCCTGAGTAGACGCCACCATGTAGCAGGCCTCAGTGTCCTCCGAGCCTGCGGGTCAGAGCCAGGCAGGTGCAGACAGTCCCCTGGTGCTTTACCTCCCTCCCCCCGGCCTGCCCCACCTGCTGAGACGCTCTCCCCCGGTCAGGTTTGAGTTCATCTCCTCTTGCACCCAGGGGAGCAACTGAGGGGGCTGTATCTGAGAATGAGGCTCTGCTGGGAGAGAAGAGGCCTGACTTTCCTGGTGGCCAAAGCTGACTGAGCATATGTGATTCACCAAGGCAGCCCCGGGTGCAGCTGAGTTTTCTAGCTGTTGCCGTCGGTCACTGATGGCCTGAGAGTGGGGGTTCGCACCTGGCACACTGGACCTTGCTTAAGGGCCCTGCTCCCCCTGCCCAAGCCGCTCCTGTCCCCCATCGCCCATGGCTGCGGGCCTCGTCCCAGGTGAGGGAGGGGCTGGGTCAGTCACGGGGACAGGTCCTACCTCCACCACCAGCCTGAAGTTTCTGTAAATGAGGGCTGGGCTCTCTGAGCTCCCATCCCCTCATCCCTGCCAGTCTGTGCGGGAGGGGCCTGGATCTGGCTGACAGCCTTGTCCAGGCAAGAGAGTCAAGCCTGAACCCCCTTCCTTTCTGCCTTCAGAGCCAAGAAAATTGAGGGAACCCGAATCCAGGCCTTACCCCAGGGAGCGGGGAGCCCTGGGAAAAAGGCATGGCTCTAGCCAAGGTTGGGCACTGGCCATGCCCAGTGCCTGATGGCAAGAAGGGCATCCAGTCTCATGTGAGGTGATGGGCAGACCGTCTAGGCAGGAGAGAGGGGTGGGGTTATAGAGAGAAGCAGAAGGAAAAGTAGTCTTCCAGGCCCCACCTTGTCCTTCGGTGAGGGCTGCAGAGTCCTGAGATCAGGGGGTGGGGAAGAAGTGGGATGTGACTGGTTCACCCCTTACCCAGCCCAGACTCCTCCCATCATTGACCTTCAGCCTGGCCTTCTCCCTCCACCGAAGTCTTTAATTCTGTTCCTGCTTGGAGTCTGGGTTTCCCTCCTTGGGTTTCTTCCCTGTCACCCCCTGTGTATCCTCCCTCCCCTTACACTCACTCATCTTGGGGATTCTCTTTCTTTGCAATCAGGAGGAGAGAAAATGCTGACAAAGTCGACTCCCGTTGTCATGGCAACCACAGCCCTAATTATTGTGTGCAGCCCGGTTCCCGGGCTCCAGGAAGGGGGTTGGAAGAGAGATGAGGATGGTGGGGTGGTGAGGCTGGAACCGAGAAACCCCCCAGGTCGTGCTCTGCCCATGCCAGCCTCCAGAGGCCCCTGTGCCTCACCTCCCTGCCACCCTTGGATCCTCTTGCTCTGGTCTCGCAGTCACAGGTCCGGCTTGAGTCCCCCCAGCTTCCCAGAAATAAAAGGCACAACATGTGCTGTTTCATTGATCCCCAGGAGCGCGGGAGCTGCTGCAGGGCAGGGCTGTTCAGTCAGCCTTGCTTTGCATGGGGGAGGTGGAGGCCCCTGGGTCACCCAGCAAGCTCTGAGAGCTGGGGTGTGGACCAGGATGTGTGTCTCTGCCCAGGGCCCATCCCCAATCCTGTCCCACAACTCAGGAGGTGGCCGTGGGGCCTGCTGACCCGCCCTGGAATCCTCCTCTTTCCCCCCACCCTCCTCTCTCCCCCCAGAACACAGATGACCTCCTGGTGGCCTCGGCCGAGTGCCCGAGCGATGACGAGGACCTGGAGGAGTGTGAACCCAGTACTGGTGAGTGCCTTTCCCCCCTCCCCTGCCCCGGGCCCACTGCGACGCTGAGGGGAGGGGGGCGACTATCCCTGCCCCCGGCCCAAGCCCTGCCAGAGGCCTGCTGCCAGGCCTTAACTTTTCCTGATAGCTTCCTCTTCCTTCCTGCCATTACCACCAGGCCCCATGAGTGCTCCCTGGTGAGGCAGTTTTTGGCCTTTTGGTACCCCAGCCCTCAGAGGTAGTGTAGTGAGGTCCTTAGCTTGGGGTTCTAAGGTTGAGGGCCAAGGGATGCCAGGAGGGAAAGAGGGAGAATTTACCCTAGAAAGATGAGTAACTGCAGGTCCCATGAGTCCTTATGGTGTGTTGGGGGATGGAGTATGGGGATGGGGAATGCAGGCCTAGGAACTACAATTCCCATCAGCTCTTGGGTTCAGAACTGCAATTCCCATCAGTCCTTGAGGCCTAGTGTTCTCCTGGTCACTAGAAGGGGAGATCTCTGCTGGCTCCTGAACCCTTCTCACTCCCAGTCTCAGGGAGGTGGCCAGACAATCCTGGGGCTCCCTGGCCAAGCTGGGGGAGTTAGGTGGGAGGTGCCCCAGCCAGGCATTAGGTCCCCAGGGAGACTGGACTGGGAGGGAAGGCTTCCTGGAGGAGGCATTCCGGGCCTCTGCTTGATGCTTCTAGCTGGAAAGAAGGGTGCAGCCCCACAGAGAGAGACCAGATTGGCAAAGCAGGGGTGGGCCTTGGGTGCCAACTGAGAAGTATGGGGTGTGGAGTGGCACAGTGGGTGCACGTGAGCAGGTGGGTGGCAGCTGGGAGGAGCTGAGGTCCTCGTATGTGAGGCCAGCAGCGGGAATGGAAAGAGACTGAATGTGGCCACATTTGCCTATAGGAACACGTGGGCCTTGGTGGTGGCCTGGATGAGCCCCCAGGAGCCTCATCTCTTGCTTGGGTTTTGCAGAGACTTCTACCCATTACTTTGCAATGTGTGATGGCTGGGCTGTTAGTACTGGAAGCTGGAGGTTGGGGCAAGTGCCTGCAGGGCTGGGGTCAGGGGCGGTGAAGGGGTCAGCTGAGGTGGGCAGTGTGACCTGGGCAGAGCCTGTGAATCTGGCCTGGGGTGAGCCTGGGGGTTCTACCAGCCACAGAAGAGCCACTCAAACTGAGGGTGGGCTGCAGCGGGCATGGAAGGAGACTGAATGTGGCCATTCAATGGAAGGAGTGTGGGCAGAGCCAGAAGACCCTGGAGCCTTGGGGCAGAGACCAAGGGTGAGGGATTTCTGGGGCGCAGGCCTCCAGGCCTAGAGGCTGATGCCTGACCGCCCTGTGTCTCCCAGTAGGCTAGAGTGAGGGAGTTGTTCTGGCAGTCCTGGGTCCTGAGGGACTTGAGGGAGCCTCTGGTTACTGGGCTGGAAAGGCCTTCACACCCACAGCCAGGACAGTGCTTTCTGGACGGATGCCCTCCACTATGGGAAGCTCTTCTTTGGGGGGCTCCCCCATCTCCCTTGGTGATCTTGGCTCAGGGATGCATCCTCACACCCACCGTTGCTTTGGGAGGCTCTGGGCCCACTCTGGCACCTTTTACAGAGCACCCTCCTTGCACCCCACTTTTCCCCAGACTAGTTACTGAAGGGGTTTCCCGTAGGCGGACATGGAACTTCCAGCCCAGGCCTGCAAGGGGGGCTGTGCTACAGGGTCCCATGGGAGCCCCGGGATGGGACTCTGGGGACAGAAGGCTGTGTGGTCACGAGCAAAAGGCACTGCTTGGTCCCACCGCACGTGTTTGCACACTTGGGGATGTGAACTGCCGGGGTGAGTGGAGAAATCTCTGCTTTCCCCGGGCCCAGCAGATGGCCGTCCTACAGCGACAGACAGGGCCACCCCGGGGCCACGCACCATCCACTGAGGCTTGGGCCTCCCAACCCCACCCAGGATCTCAGGGGCCTGGCTGTGATGCTGAGTGTGTGTGCAGGTGGCTGGGCGCTTTTAGGTTGTGTTGGGACCAGGGATTGAGGCAGAGCTGAAGTGGGCAGGTCAGTTGCCTTCCCTCCATCAAAGGGTCAAGTCTGTGAGGGGACCATGGAGGGTGGAGAAGGAATGGAGGCTGGGGGCTGGGGAGAGGCTGGTGGGCCAGCCTTTAAAAATAAGAGGGCAGGCGGGCAGAGGGCATGCTGAGCGTCCAGAAAAAACGCATGGAACCCACCTTGAGATGTGCATCGCACATGTTTGCACCTCCACATTCACGCTGCTCTGAAATGCTTAAATTGGATTTTTATCTCAATGAGAGGCCAGACAAGGGCCAAGATGACTCCAGGGTCCCTAGACCATGACACCTCCCACCTGGAGGGGGAGGGGCTCAGGCCATAACCCCTCTTGTGCCCCCAGTGCAGGGAGGCTTTTTCTTCAGCAGACACCAGGCCTCCTTGGTCTCCAAGGTCAGTGTCAGAGATGGAGGCAGCCTGGCTAGAGACAGCAGCTACCTAGGGCTGGCCCCAGGCTTGTTGCACCTCTCTCACCTGTCAGATCCTCCTCCCTGGAGTCCAGCTGTTAAGCCTCAGGTCATCCCTGACATGTTTCTCACCTTCTATTGACTTGAGCCCCTCCCCAGGCACCCCAGCTTGGAGAACCCATCATCTGACAGTCACTTTAGTAAGGGTGCTGCCCAGCCAAAGAAGGGTGTTGTGTTGATGGATGCGGTGTTCAGATTCTTTTAGTGGGCGTGCCTTTAGGGAGCCATGTCCTGCAGAGAAGGCACTGTGACCCACCACCCAAGCTGTCTTAGCCGGCCTGATCCAGACCCTGTGTTATGGGCCTGGCCTGTAGGGATCTCACCTCTTAAGACACACAGAAGTGCACTCACATGCTCAGACCCACAGAGGGACCCAGCTACGTGCACACATGTGTCTGGACAGAGGCACGCCCACATCCTGGCACACACATTTATAGACCTACTGGCAAGCTCATTCATGTCCACTTTGACAGGTCCACATATATTCAAACCTAAAGGGCACACACCACTTGTGCCCAGGCTAAAAGAGGCACACATATGCTTAGATCTAAAGAGACATGCTTGTATTCAGAGCCCCAGAAGTCTGGCACACACAGGCAACCCCGCAGATGTACACAGTTTCACAGAAGCACACACGTGTTTAGAGCCCCAGTCCTGCATGTGTGTGCTTAGGGCTTCTCACCTAGATGCGGGCTCACAGGTGTCTGCCTGCTCAGACCCACAGCTTTCACACTCAGACACGAGCCCAGCTGCACAAAGGTGCCATGCAGCATGTCTTTAACCCACCAAGGCAGCCGTGGGTGCTCAGAGCTGCACATCCATGCACTCACAGCCCCACTGAAGGGTGCATGTGCACATCTATTGAGGGGTAGACCAGATGTTCAGAATCACATGCATGTGTTCAAAAGCACTTGCATATTTTAGATATTCATGAGACACATATGCCTGTGTGCTCAGACCCTTAAGGCCTACGTGCATACGAACCTGAGGTTCTCAGAATTCCACATCCACACTCATCTCATGGAGGCACACACACGTATACAAATCCACCTGTGTCACAGACATGCTCACACACGTGCTCAGGTCACAGAATCCTCCGTGTGAGCTCTGACTTGCAGATGTTCACAGATGTGTGTGTGTGCATGTTCCGAGTAGGCACACACACTACGTGAGCAAACTTTCTGAGGTGCAAGCGCATGTGTGTACACACAGACATGTGAATTTAGGGATGTCCATGTCTGCCCCAGGCTCACAGAGGTGCACGAGTGTCATAGCTCCAAACATGCACACACTTGGGCTCAGACCTACTGTCACTTGCACATCTGTTCACAATCACTAAGATGCACACATCCTCAAAGGCATGTCCTCGTGTACCAAGTATGCGCTCATATGAGACCCCTGAACGTGTGTGTATGTGTGCACATCCTCAGGCAGGCTGTGTGTGCACAGACCCAGGGATCCACGCACAGACCCACGTTTCTTCAGCCCCACAGACCTGCACCCCTCCCCCACTACCCGGGAGAGGTGCTCCTCAAGGCCCATCTCAGCTCATTCCCACTTGCAGGCCCCTTAGCTTGGACACACACATGTGCTCAGACCCCTCAAGGCATGCATACGCATACTCAGTCCCACAGTGGTGTACACACATACACACACACACGCAGAGTCAGGTCAGCACTGACCCACGTGGGCGCTCACAGCTGCTCATACACTTACTCATACACTCAGAGATACACATGCAGCTACACATAGCACACCTACATAGCTGTGGACCCTCGGCCAGTCACACGTCTTCAGAAGCAGTACAGTGCCTGCCTCCCTGTTCACCAGGCGAGCTCACAGACCACAGTGACCCGCACACACACGTGTACCCAGCTTCCCATAAACCCCCATGCTCAGAGCCGGAGAAGCCGCCTCATGCACGTGGCTCACATGTGTGCATCCCTTCCAAGGCTCTGCTCCTGTGCACACGTACACGGGGCCTCAGAGGGATACACATGCTTAATTCCACAGGCACTGACCCATTTGCTCAGACCCACACATCTAGCTCAGAATCAGAGACACTGGTGTGTTCAGATTCTAGCCTGTCTTAAGATAACACTAGTTGTTATTACGAACAAGCTCTCAACACCATGGTTTAACACATAGAAATTGACTTCTCCTTCACGTAAACACTTCCTGATGGGTGAGCAGCTCTTTTCCAAGCACTGATTCAGAGTTGATCTCTGTCCACCTTGAAGCTGCACCGTGACTTCCCTAGTTGTGGTGGAAGGGGATGAATGAGAGGGGCATAAGGGGAGGGTTTATGGGCCAGGCCTGGGAGGGAGGGGGGCACGTGGGCCCTGCTGATCCTGCCCTCCAGAGCACCGTTCCATGGCACAGCCTAGCTTCCAGGTAGGCTGGGAGGCATGGCCCTGCTGTGCTCACAAGAGGAAGTAAAAACAGATTTGGTGACCAGCTAGCCATTTATCTGCCACAGTCTGGGCTTTGGGTCGCAAACAATCCATTCTAC